CTCTATTATAATTATGATATTTATTTAGGTTGTAGATTTAGGCTTTTATAACATTCCTTATTTGAAAACTTACCACATGCATGATAAGTCTGGACAGAATTTGAAGGAAGAATTGAATTCTCCTATTTACAAAAGCACAAATCCTCTTTGAGGATATGTCTCGACATCCCCAGAATGAAAAAAGAAGCATGCGAAGTGAGCACATGAAACACTTATACATGCTCCTTTAGTTCTTCACTGAGCCTAGACATGCTCAGTCTACCACTGTCCTCCTGTTCACTCTGTCCTACTCAAGACCAAACTCAGGCCAGGCAGAGAAAGACAAATACCATTTGATTTCACTTGTATGTGGGACCTAATGAACAAACTGAACAAGGAAAATGGGGACAGATTCATAGATGGAGAGCAGATGACAACTGGTGTAGGGTGGGGAGGTTAGTTGGTAGATGGATTGAGCAAAAAGGAAAAGGACTCATGGACATGGACAAAGTGTGGTGATTGCTGAGGGCAGGGGGTATAAGAGGACAAAATGGTAATGGGAGAATACAGTAAAGATTAAGTTTTTAAAGAGACCAAAGTCAATCTTTTATATCACTAAATCTCACCTAAACATACTAACCCCTAGTGCTCTCTCCCACCTGTTAATTCCTAAAATTGACTTCTGCAAAATTCACAGTCCTACACGGTTAGCTTCACTTTCTACTTCTAGTATAATGTTCATTCTATGACTTACACCACCTCCAAGTATCTTATAACAATATCACATTATTCATCATTGCCTGCCCACCACTACATTGTACCAAGCACAATACTATGTGTGTGCATTTGTTCATTTAAAAGTAACATTTGGTTATTCAAACAACAAAATATCCATTCCTTCATATGTAAATATATATGTGTACTATATACATGCATGTGTGTATGTGATGCATGACATATATGTATATAAGTATATACATAGAAATATAAATGCATGTACAAGTGAACATGTGTTCATACAATGCACATAAATACATACCTAAACATAAGTGCACATGAGCAGATACAGGGTGTCTGACACAAATAACCCCCCCTTTTTTATGAGCTGATAACTTATAACAAATCTTTTATTACAAAATCATAAGCATGTATTTCTATAATATTTCTGTAACCTAATACTACCACACTCAAGCACCCTATATGCCATTTTAGGTGAAATGTTCAAACGCTGTCCATCTTGTGTGAGACTTTCACATACTCTATCAACCACGCTCAAGGGCGTTACTTCTACAGGACCGTGTATATACATATAGAAATATAAGTGTATATATTTATATGTGATAATACATTTATAATTTTTTAAAAAGTAGAGATTTTTCTGAAGCTTTATTTAGTCAGAGATAATTGTCTTGATCCCCAGAGTATTTGTTTGATACCCTTTTTTGTATTCCATAAGTGTAGTTATCATATCTTGACTTCCACCAAATTAAAAATTATGTATATGTGTTTGTATGTATATGGGTATATATATATGTGTGCGTGTATATTTCATATTTATTGACTATGTAATATATTTTAAGCATTATAAACCTTTTCACTTGAAATGCTATTAGATCCAAAATATCTTTCCCTTTTAGATTCAACAAGAAATAGATGATATTGGACATTTAACATATATTTAACATATTTTTTAATTTGTGCTTTGCTGTCATATATCACGACAGCATGAGATATACACACACACACACACACACACATTTATATGTGCTACACATTTTAAGTATGATTGTAATATACTTAAAATACCAGGGAAATGCTAAGAAAAATGAGCATCACTATCATTAATGAAAATAGGAATTTAATCTTTGATGGATAATTATTTGCATAAGAAATGCTTGCACAGTTACTGAAAGCATTTTAATCCCTTTTCTTAACCTGAAGGCTTACTCTTCTCAACTGCCTTTTTTTTTCCAGGCTGCTTCCATTTGCGTTTTTCCACAGTTATTAGAATAACTGTTACTCAAAGGTAACACTCTCAAATCACCTATGATGGGCATTTTAAGCTATTGATTGCAATTATCTACCATCATTCAAAATGAATCAGGTACATTTAAATCCCTACTTCCTACATTTTACTTGAATTTCATTAAAACATTATCATCTTCTTTTACAGCTAATACCAGTGAAAGTTCAGGTAATGGTAATCCCTTTTCCTTTTGGTACTTTTGTATTTACCCATTTCTGAGTGCACTAGTTTTATTATTACCAAAAACCCATATTTCCTACCCCAAGGAGCTCTACCCAATGTATGACTTTTACTGAAAAATTATAAGATCCTTCCCCCCAAATTCTGTGCTATCCACTATTAGGTTTATCAGTTCCACTTGAAGTAGAACCTAATAATAATCAGACAGTAGTCTTTAAAATGAATGAATTTTGTGAGAGTTGAGAGGTATGTGTGGTGGGGAGACAGTGAGTATATTTTCATGCCTAATGATTTAGAGATTTAACAAAAAATTGTAGAAAATCTAATAAAGAACATAATGCAAACTTGTTGCTAAAGTACCGATCATCATCTCAATTAAATATCTGAAACTCATAGCAATGGGGCTGATACCTACAATTTGTCCCTGCACATTTTTTTTTCTCCTTTATCTCTGGAGAGCATTTGAAATTCATGTTTCTTTCTCATGACTTAATATTGACAAAAACAAAACAAAACAAAACAAAACAAAAAAGACCCCACAGCAAGGCCCTGACATGAATGCTTTAGGACCACTAGTGCAGAGCCTAGAACCAGAACTAGGTATGGCAGTTTCTAGGAGAGTATTTCTCAAAGTGTGTTTCACATAAGTGCTAGTCTCAGAAAATGCCCTAGGATATAGGGTTTTATGTCATGTAAGATTATAACAGAGTTGAAAAGGAATCAACTAGTAAAGAAATCTCTCTACATATTTAATCATGGAATTTCCATTCCTTTATTAACTTCTTATTTTTCAAATACCAATTAAAATTCCATAGATTATTTTGAGAAATACTAGAATATGGATAATGTGCTGGGGGGGAGGATGTAAATGAAGCTAATGCAGATTTAATTGTTTGTAAATGTTTTTGAAAGCCTTGCTTATTGCCTCTTTCCCCTTAGCGTACAAACATTCATCAAAAAGATGCTTTTGTAGAAAACTAGACCAGACTTAACAGAAGATAATAATTAATTTATGAAGGAAAAGGCTACTTTTGCTTTAACTACTCTGAAAATTTAATTCTTAGCATAATGTCTCAATACGTGCTTGCAAAAGAAAAAGACAAACAACAACTGAAGCAAAAGCCAGTTGGTCAGAAATAAATTATTCAAAAATGTTTAGAAAAACATTGTCTAAAAACTGTCAAACAAAATATTTTCTCCTACCTAGAGCGTGTATTCAACACTAAGGCATTTTATAGGAAGGGGTGGTCAGGTGCTATGACCTAAGGGCAGTTAGAGCAACCTGCAAATTCCCTGTCAGGGTCATTGCCTTGAGCCCAGGGTCATTGAATTTGAATCACAAAAGTACCTTCCTCAGTTAATTACTAAGACATCTGAATAAATATACTTCTTGTAACATGACTACCACAGGAAGAAAATGTGTTGGCTAGAAGGTGCAAAGGCAGGTCACCTTTGTAGTTCTTTATAAATTAAACACACAAGCACACAATTGTCTTGCATGTGTCTCAGGGTTTCTGGACAGCTTTTTAACACTCTCTTGTACCTACTCTGGCCTGAGGAAATTCCTTCAGAGACTGAAGGGCAAAACCAAGACCACTAAAATCTATCACGGTAAGAGTCATTGAAACCTTTTGGAGACAACATAATGTCTTTTTTTTTTATGGCTAGTGTTTCTGCTTGTCTTTTCCTTTTAAATCTTGCATATTGGTTTTCTGTTAGTACAGCTTCAATGCACATTACTGCCATGAAGTAAAATTTAGCATGAAAGCTGCTAATTTCTTGTTTGGAAGGGATTAAATCCATTTTAACAAGTTGAGGACATTAAATATTGTTATTTAAATGTTTTCTTGCAACATTGATACATATTTTCTCTAGATTATATAGAATTATTGAGAGCACAGTGTATTATTATTTTAATAAGTCTCCTGATAATATTGCACTCTTGCCATTTGTAGATGTTTCCCTAATACACTCAAACTTCATAAAGCAATGATTTCTTTCATAATTTCTCTACCACTTATCACATGGGTAAGTCATATTTTGTCTTTAACCATGTATGTGTTTTTCCATTGTATTATATTAATGTAAAATTATTTGATTATTCTATCACTATTTTATTTCTAATTGTTAATCTAAATTAAATAAAACTATATATTGTCCATTTACCATGTGTTTTAAAACTACTTTTAAATGAATGTTTCAGAATTAGCTTCCTTTTCACTATTACTGTTACCATAAACTCTTTATTTTTAGAGACAATCTGACCCTATAATTGTACTTAAGAGTAAAAAAGAATGAAATATTCATTAACTACAATAAAGTAGGGAATTTTTATTTTCTACCCACTATATAACTTTTCAACATACCCACCATCTTTTAAAAAATTATCATTAGTTATTCTAAAGCTAATATCTACTTCTTATTCTCACAGTTATATATGTGTGTGTGTTTTAAATTATTATGTAATTTTGTAGATAAGAAGTTGGTGTTATACATATTTGAATGTCTTTTGGGGGACGGGGAAGTTCAGATCTGGAAATCAGTAGTAATAGAGTGAAACTTTAATTTCAAATGCTTTTACAGTCTTCATTGGTGTCACTTAGTCACTATTTTAAGTCAATGCAAATTATTATTTATCACTGCCTAACCCATAAACGAATGAGAAAAGAAGATAATGCATTTGGTCTTAAAGTATTAATATAGAGTTCTAAAAATGACAGCATGGTCTCTTTATGATTTGTCTCCTAGCAAGTTTGTTTTACATAAATGGCTTTTTTACAATTTGAAATGTGAATATATTTTATTTTTTCCCAGTGAGTACACAATACACAATTCTTTGACAATACTATTAATCAATGTTACGCCAATTACTTTTCTGATCAACAACATCAAATGAAACACATTAAGATTTTGGACGCTGTTTGGTGACTTAAACAAACTACAGTTAAAAAAGAATCCATCTATAAAACAAAGTATAAAAGTCTACCCACGGCCACAAAATCCCTTATCTTGCAACACTTTAAAGTCACAATAAATGCTTTTAAAATTATGAGATAAGATAAATTAGTAAATTGAATTTCATTTAAAAAATGTATGGTGTTTCATTTAACGTACACATCATAGGGAAGCAAAAAAAAAGTAACTTCACCTCTAAGATAATGTGGAAAGACATGTTGCATTACAACAATTCTTGTCATGTAATTCTATAAATACAGTATACAGAAGTGGATGAACAAATTCATGAATGTCATGGTTCTGCATGTTTTTAATACTGACGCACATTCACTTCCAGTGGAGAGGATAAACCACAGTTTCAAGTTCATTGGTGTTGTTATAATTATGTTGTAAATGGACAATTACATAAATTAGATCAATAGAAATTTGGAGGTGTTCTATCAATCTCATGCAAGCTTTCAACTCAAACCCCATTGAAAATATATTTAAATACACAGAGCATTAAACTATGGCATAGAGAATCATTTAATCCATTTTGATACCTAAGCAAGTAAACTTGCAAAGTTTTTTTTCCTCCTTTGGTTGCATAATATCTTAAATGTTGACTTTGATTTTTCTGTTTTCCCTTGAACTGGATTCAAATCCTGTGAAGGAATCAATTGTTTTCATGTCCCTGTACTCTCCCACCTACCTTTAAATAGGCATGGGGAAAACTTGGAGAAAGGGTAGGTAGCTGGACTCTGCTTGCCTACATTGATGTATACCTGAGTTGGGGCACTGTCATAGCTGTTTCCCCAAAGGAGACTTTGCATATTATGAATGGAGCCGTGCCTGTGGGTTATGACTGCACTGCAGTACTGTCTGCAAGTACTGGGTAAGATTACACTCTGTCCCTTCCAGATCCCCTTCTGACAGCATATGCGTGCCTGCCTCTGTTTACACCCAAGGAAGAGTCAGCTAAGTGAAAGACTAACCAGTCATTTAACTGGCTGCAAAATGAAAAATCATGGCCATTCTCATATGTGTTTGTATCCTTTTAAATGATATTTTGATTTACAAGGATTAGATTTTTACCCATGGCAAGTTGACAATGCTTTGGTGTGCTCCTGAATTCATTTGGATAGCCACAGCTTTTTACTGTGCTCTGTATGTATTTGAAGGTGCTAATTTGTATGCAATATTTGACCAAGCAATGTATTTAAAACTAGATTGAATGGGAAATGTGGAATATTCTAAAAGAATAGTCCAAGAAACCATAAGGTTTGCACTGACATAATGTAACCATAACAGTTGGCTTTATGCATTGGAGACAATTAGGAAGGTATGATGTATGCCTAGTACTATTTCAGGAGTCACCTGCGTACACATACTCCATTTTTGAACTCGTGGTTTATTAGTCACATACACCTGCCAGTTACCAGGGGTCAAAGGCTATGTGTAATATAGGTAATGAACTAAAGTTTTAGACCTAATTGTGTTATAGAGGAAGATAAAGAAGAAATACAAATGAACAAAACTTTGTTTGCTTTTAAACAGAAAGAGGTGAAGTAAGGAATTGCATAAATAAAAATGTAAATTCCTCACATCTTGCGGTTGTAAGTATATACTCATTCTTAGCAGAAACTTCTCAGCTTTCCCAGTATCTTTGTCCCAAAGAAATCAAACTGCAATGAAATTCAGACACTTAAGGGAGAAAGTTGAAGAGTTTTACGTGTCAGAATTTTCTCCTCAGTGAAGAAATGAAGTACATGGCACCAAAAAGAGGTTGGAGCCTATAAAGAACATTATGTTCCTCTGTGCTTGCCTGTGTTGATGCAGTTTCAAGGAATATGAAAGGTGAAAACATTTAATTTTGTCATTACTGTAGCAATATGCCATTCAATCAGTGACTGAGCCAAAAATGCAAGAAGCAGGATTTGTCATTCAAATGGTCCCGTATTTTAGAATTGATCCTTATTATAACATTGAATATGTTTTAAAGAATCAACTACTGGACACGTCATAGGAATAACGTAAGACAATATAACTAGAGATATTGTTTACAATTGTGTAGGCAGCACATGGGAAAATGTCACAAGTAGAAATTTCAGGAGGGTTCTCCTCTATTTGACTTACTATACATGTACAGTAGCGAACATATTTCAAAGTCATACTCATTTTGACCACACATGACTGATGTTCAGGAAATTCTTGTTCTCAAAGTCGTGAAAACAAATGAGGCAGGACACTGTTGTTAATGTCCATTTATGAGGTTTGGTTTTATTTAAAAAGTGTATAAACATGCATTTTTCTTCTTTTCAATTTTTCTTGTCAATTTACTCATTCAAAATGGGTCAAACATATTTTAGTTGGTAGCCAATTTTTGAGAGTGTACCATAAAATACTTATGCCAATAAGTCTACTTACTGTGAATTGAACATACTCTGAGCACTGCTTTTTAAGCACTTACAGTTTGGCTATACAGTTGGTGGCATAAACTTCACTTCTTCATCAAATAAAACACAAAGTAGCATATAGACTGCATTATTTTTTAAAAGTCATGACTTGAAGTGATGTAGCTCTATCCTCTAGTGTGTACTGTACATGTATTAGAAAGATGAAACATGATACTGTGATAGAGTTTTTGTATCTTGGAGCAGTCCGAGTATGTTCTGACAATACACTGTCTCTTTAAATATTTGCTGGATATTCTAGAGTTCATTTGGTTTGTTTCCTTGGGGAACATTGTATTATATTCTGACTTAATGAGTTGGAGAGATTAATTATGGTAATTCAGAAAATGCTTTTTAAAAAAGATTATATAAATACAGCTCTTGTGAAACATCTTAATTTCTTTTTGCTTGTTGTAATTCTCAGATGGGTCAATTACAACAACAGGTAAAATTGATTCTAAATATAACTTTAATTTCCTTATTATTTCTTAAAGCAAGTTTAGTACATCTTTGCTACCTGTATATTTTAATGGCTATTCAGTCTTAAGACTAAAACTTCCTTCTTTTGACCCATGCTTTTGTCAACAGTAAAAGCCACTTTTCTGCTTTTTTTATTGACTCAGTTCCTGATGTTCAAAGAAGACTTCACCAACACCACTCTCCTTCACATCTTCCTATTTCTATACCCCAACTGAACAACATCTAGCGTGATTGGTTACAACCAGCATCATCCAACCTGGCTTACAGTACAGAAACTCCCTTCACATTCAGTCTTTTTCTTCATGTCACGAGGAGTAGAGATTTGTGCTTATCACCAAATAAAATTGCAGTGCAAAATTTAAACATAAAAGTTACACAATTAAAAGTTAATATATGGCACCACAGCCTATTAATTCACATATAGTACAATAGACCAATAAGAACAGACAATAATATGAACAGAGCTAAAAAGAGTGAGCTTGCATAGCAATGCACAAAAGAAATTATATACAGAGGAAAATCCATTTCTTCCTGGAGGGCGAGCTTTGTTTTCTTTCTTTTTTTGTATACTCCTGACAAGAAAGAGTTAAGGTGGGTGGTGTACTTAAGAGAAGAACACAAGTAAAATATCTGTGGGATATGTGTGGCTGTGTGTCTTTACATTGCATTTACAGTTCTTTTAATAGTACATAAATAAGGAAATTGTTCATTGCACTGTTTAGTGTCGTCACTTCCATGAGTTCAGACCTGATGGTCCTTCAGAGCAGCTTTGCACATCTCCTCGCAGTTACTCTATAAAGAGGAAAAACACATCTGGATTAAGTTTGCATTTAAATTAAGTATTTAAAAATTGTGACCAAACACACAAAAACCAAAGTGAACAGATAGGAAATGAAAATAAAATCATCAAATAGATTCTGTGTGTTTGTGAATTTAAGAAATTTTACTTGAATGAGATGGGAAGAGGACAAAAGAAATACTGTAGAGTTTGGAGATTTAAAATCCACTAAGAGCTATTTTTGCACTTTTGTGAGTCTGTAATTATTCCAAAATAAAGGTTAAAGAAAAATCCAAGGAGTCATGAATCAAATTAAAAATTATAAAGATAGCTTATTAATAATCCAACTAGTAACAGACCACAGCTCACGTCAATAAAGAATTTAGTTTTGACAGTACTTTTAGTTTTCACTATCCCATGTCATCCGCCAGTCAGCCACTCAAGCATAATAATGTGAGTTTTTAGATAAGAAAAAAAAAAGATTAGGAAATTTACTTTCCCTTTTCACATAACTAAATAAAAAGTTGAGGAGATTGGGACCCAGGGCTGTTCCTCAGCAGTGTTTTTAAACTATTTTATAGAAGCAGTTGATCATATTCAGCAACTATAATTCTGATACTGAATAGCAAAACTGGTAACTTTCCTGATGAAATCAACAAGAGTTCAATGCTTTTCACTGTGACACACTATAGCATTCTGTCTTTCTCTGTTGCCTAGTATTTTATATTTAGAAAATAGATTAGTTATACTAAGTAACAATGTCAGTTCCTTATTTAAAAAGAAAACTTTATTTTTAAGTTATATTGTAATAATCAAAATATTAAAAATTAACTAAAATCAAAACTCAACTTTTCAAGGTTGACTCCCCAAATTAAAAAAAAAAAAAAAGGAATTCCTAAGGAGATTCCTTAAAACTATCAAAGAGCTGAAATGAAGATGATTGTTTATAATACAAACAAATTTGAAATAGAGGACATGTTCATTTCATTGACTGTTGTAATAGCAATGGTCTAAGTTCTGACCAAACCTGCTAAAAAAAACAATCAATTCTCATAGTAGAGCAAGTTTTCTACTGTTCTGAAATTTTTTTATTGTGGCAATGTTATTGATGGGGTTTAGGACATACTACCGCAAATACGGCACCTTGGTACACTGAGTATCTTCAGCTGAAGGAGGCTGAGGATACAGCAGAAGCAAAAAAGGCCATGCTGACCTCCTCTTTCACCCTTCTTTCCCTAAAACAGCTCATAATACTGCAGGGGACATCTTCCCTCTCTGTGCCTGGGGAAGGGACCAGTCCTATCACAATAGTTGGGGCTGAGAAGCCTGTACACACAAACCTTGATAAAGTAATCCTTATCATCCCATTTACCTCACCATTTACTACCCCTAGTTCAGACCCTTCTGTCTTGTCAATTCTTTATATGTTTATTATTTCTTTGTCTAAAAAGTAGAAAAGCTTTCTCCTCTTGTTACTACTTTGGGTTTTCATCTTCTTGTAAAGGTTTCCATGTATGTGTAAAAAATTAATAAAATGAATATTCTTTTTTATGTCAATTTATGCCAGTTTAATTTTCAGACCCAGCCAGGGACCCTAAGAGGGTTGAGGAAAACCTTTTCCTTCCCTACACTGTTACCCCAGTATTCCTTCTAGATCACCATAGACTTTTAAAGCTCCTAAAGCACTTACATAATTCACCTGTAAACTGTCCTTGACTATTTGAGCCCATATAACCTATGTCAAGAAGGTCGCTGGCATTGCGCTGGTGGCCACCCCTCAAGGCCTCAGCTTTCCTAGGCCCGGTGGATCCTTTAGAAGAAGCTGTTCCTGAGGAGCTATGGCCTCCTGGCGATGGGAAGCTGGGCTTGCTGTAGGGCACCAAGGTCTCCTCTGGAAACACAAGGAAAGACAAGAAACACAGAGGTCTAAGTTAAACAGCAGCATGTTGGCAAAACAAACAACTTTAAATACTTAGCTCAAGATGGGCTATTTTACCATTTTGCTTTTTAGGAAAATTAAAAGAATATGAAATTTAATAAGGATCCCAGATTAAAAGCTATTTCTATGTGCAAGCAACATTTCCTACAATAGGAGCTGAAGCAGAATTAAATTAAAAGAAATACTGCAATACATACACAATGTTATATATCATTTGCAAAGTTTAAAGATATTATAAAGAGACCTGCATAGAATGGATCTTATTGTTTAACTAGAGTATTTCTGAGAACGATTTCTGGAGTTCAATGGAAGCCCCAGTTTAATGTTTCCATTAAGATTGTAAAGAAGCAGCGTCTTGGTTTTAAATTATGGTGACATTTTTCTCAATTTATATAAAGAACTATACACTGGTGGTTAAAATAGGCTTCTTAAATTTTTGTTGTTTCTTGGAATAGAAATACATTATTTGAAAGCCTGTCTTCCTCAACAGAAAAAAAAGAGAAACTCATACATTTTAATAAATAATGTGTCTCTTCTCTCTATGCATCATCTCTCTAACAATAACTCATGATGTGCATAACTAAATACTTAATACTTTGAAATGTTTTTCTTTCATTCTTCCTTTTCCCCCTTTTTCCCTTCCTTCTTTTCCTCTTTCCTTCCCTTCTTTCTTCCTTCCTTTTCTTCTTTCTCCAATCCATCCCCCCCCTCCTTTTCTTCTTTCTTTCCAGGTATCGGCCATCATTACTGTGGTTAGATGACTAAAAAAACCGCTGACTGAATTTAGACTTTTTTTCCTCAGATAATGTTTAATGACAAGGATCACATGATTCTTCTTTCAGTCTTAATGACAAACCTTCTTAAATGTTTCATTAAACCGAGACATTAATGTTGTCATTTTTAGGTCATTGCATAAATTATATTTCTAAAATGAAGTTGTGACAAAATATAATTATTGAAAATGCATGGGTAGAGGACATATGTAGAATTGATTCAGTCCAAATGAATAAATGAATGTATAACAACACTCTTTCAAATGTTCTGTCTGTATGTGACTATGTGTGTGTGTGTTTTAATACTTAAGGAATCCTGACATAAGAAGAGATATTCCAGAAAATGCATTTCTGTAATGGGCTCAAACCACACCCCCCTCCAAAAAAAACCACCCAAAAATGAATCATGAAATTTATTTTGTGATATTTCTAGGAAGCTTGATTTATAAATGAGAACTTTCCCCATTAATTGTTATTAACTAAATTTAATCATCTGGAGAAAGTGTAGACCCAGTTTAACCTCTTCCAATGTGAGGATTCTGTGACTGGGCATTTTTTTGCAACTGGTATTTCAATTAATTCAGCCATTTGACTGAAGGGAGTTCTCCTTTCAAAATGACTAATTACTTCAGTCAAAATGAACAAATTGGTTGAAGGCAGGGTTTAAACTGACACTAAAGATGAAATTTTGTGGTCTTAGAAGCACTCAATATAAACATTAAAAGGCAAGGAAATAAAATCGTCTCCTGAGCACCACAGATGAAGGTTGGAAGTCTCTGGGCTCAGAGATACCAGGCAGAGTTAATTTGAGGAACAATCTCTATTGGGATCAGCCTTAGGGGAAGTGCTGGTGCACTCTGGGGCAGAATTCCAATGCAGTTAGTGATTTCAAGGTAAATGTGTTTCGGATGCCCTTAAACAACTGCCACTTCTAAAATACCTGGTGGGAAAAAAATGGTAAAAGTCCACACTTTCTTGGGACTGTGCAGAACACACCTGGTCCAACACCTTGTTTGTGTAGGGCTTTCCGTATATCTTCTTGGCGTTCTGTGGAGTTAATCCATTCCTGGGTTTGTCGCTGCCAGTCTAGGGATGTTCTAGCTGGACAATCCAATGAGCTCTTTGTGTCTTCTAAGGTGGATGCTGCTTGTCTCTCCAGAGAGCTTCCTTTTCTCTCTGTTGAGTTTTCCACGTTACCAGCATGCTGGCTCGGGCCTATTTGCTGCCTTAAACCCTGACCAGGAGGGGGGTCTGGTGGTGGTGGAAGATCTAAAAATTTTGAATAATGTTTAGAATGTGCTAAAATTTAATGAAAAATACAGGTTTTAGTTCAAGATGAAGAAAAAAACCCTACCTTGCTAAAGTTATCATCCAAGCAAAAGGTATTTTTGGGGGGTGGGGGATAGCCCAATTGTTTACATCCAAAATGCATATTATTGATCTCTTTGTCATCTTTTGATCACAGGGCTTTTGAAATAAAATCAACTGATTTTATTCAATTATTATATGTGGAAAGTGTTTTCAATTGCACATTGAGGCTAATATATGAGGCATAAAGGGTCGTTTATGGTTTCTCCATATTCAATCCATTGTCCATCCCCACTTCCCAAAGTAGAAATACCACAACACGAAATGACTAAAAATTCTAGCAGCTGTGTTAATAAAAGGCTCTGGGAAGAATAAAAGCTATCCTGCCAACCTCCATAGGAAATTTTGCCCTTGGGAAATTAAGAATTATATGCCATATCATATGCAACATATGACTGCCTGTTACCCATGTATGTGGCATATTTAGTAATAGTCAAAGGGTTAAGCTAACATTTGTGAAATGCAATTAACATTCTGCCTGACAACCAATGCTAGCTGTTCGTTTCATGAGTTAGCTAATGACTTACAACTAATATGTAATCTTCTTCCAATGTATTAATTTTAATATATAATAACCAGTGTTCAGAGTACAGATAGAATATGCTTCATGGTGTCAGAGCAGACACTGTATCATGAATATCTGAGATGTAGTGCCATAAATAATTTTTCAGAAAAGCTCTTAAAATTAAATATCAGATATGAAAAAATAAAAAGTTCAAAGACTCAGCTAATTTTCATTTTCCTTTTATTAGCTCTTCAGATCATCATTACCTTTATAATTTTAATGTCTTCAATTGTGATATCATTGTCCCTTCTTTCGTATTTCTTTCAGTAGGATACTTGTTCTGTTATACTTCTTACACTATTACATTATTTCTGAAATTACTTTGCTGAAGTATTTGAAACTCTAAACACTTTAAAGACTTTTAGATTATTTTCTTTTACATTTTTCTAGCACGCTATTAAAATTTCTTTGTTCATTCTTAGACTACCATTATTATATTATTTGTTCATAAAAGCCAAATATCATATATAATATGGATATTTATTTTATTGTAGAGGATATTGTATGTAATATAGGTATTTATTTCCCATACTATTTTTGTAATTGTGCTCTTGTTTCTAATAATATTGTTGGTAAAATTTAAAAGAAAAAAGTATAATTTTTGGACAAAAGGAAGCTTTTTTAAGGAAAGGTAGGCTGCTCCTTTTAAAGTCTTTCTTAAAAAACTTTATACTCTTGTTTTTTAGCAAAATGATATTGTCCTCCACTGCACTGATAACAATGATCTACTCAGCATCTGCTCAGGAAGCTACCACGTTGGAGCAGTGTTTTCATTCTTATGTATGTCCTCTTGTTAGATTATGAATTACTAATTATTGAAGGGGACAGGGTTTCTGTCTGGGAGAATCAAGTTGCATTTGCAACCTTTCTTCCAAAAGGAAGAGCTAATCTAATATTGAGATATCTGTTTGTTTAATAATCCACCAAAGACTTTGGTATTTCCTTTGTATTCAAAACTGACTTCCTTCAATATGTATTATTATAAATGCAAATTAATTATTTCATGTGAGTTATTAGATTCAAGGCTGCTAGTAAGAGAGAGATTATTGTAATTTCTTCTAAAATAGCATATCTTGTCATTGATTTTTATTCTCCATCAGAGCAGCTTAATATTTATAGTGGCCAAAATGGAATCTGCTTATGCTAGCTAAATTTCTGATTACTATTTAATTTAACCTGAAATTATATAGCTACATAATTAATATCCTTGGAGTCTGTATATTCTAAAAAGAAAGAACATTGTATACACATTGAAATAAACAAATTGGAAAAAAGATAGAATTGAGAATGGCTGTGGAAAAAAATAAATATATGCAATCAAATATATTTACTTAAATTAAATTTGTTATTCATTTCTAGGTTGATTCATTTTAACTAAATCAATTTGCTAGAGTTTCTTACTGGCTTGCTGAGGATTGCTATTGCCAGGCACACAACAGTCCGATGATATATCTGTCATTATTATCCTCTTTTTTAAGGTTAAAAAAGGAGAGAGGCATGAAAAAATTACATATCTCCAGCCTGAATCTCTCCTCCTGTGTACTCCTGACTCATATAACCAAACCCACACTGAATAGTTAGATTCATGTGTTTAGTAGGCCTCTCAAATTTCACATACCCAACTTGAGCTCTAGATCTTCCTCTACAATATATGCTTCCTTTCTAGTGTTCCTCATCTCAATTGGTAGCAATTCTATTCTAGAAGTTTTCCAAAACTTTGGTGTAATCTTTCACTTCCCTGCTTTATAGCCTGTGTTAATTTTATTAACAAAGCCTGTGGGCTCTACCTCTAAACTAATACCTAGAATTCAATCTTTCTCATTGCTTTCACTGAGTCTCCCTTGGTGGAAGCATCTAATCCCTCTATAACCCCTACCACCTCCTAAGTGGTTTCTGCACTTTCACATAGAAGCACATTCAGACTATCTCAACAAAACAGCTAGAGTGACATTTTTATAATGACAAAAGTAAGATCATGTCACTTCTCTAGCCTTAACATGCACACACACGTACATGCATGCCTGCACACACCTCCATTGGTTTCTCATTCAAAGCAAGAGCCAAGGTCCTTACAGAAGTGTAAAGGTCCTACAAACTCTGGCCCTCATTTACTTGTCTGATTTCATATTCTATTTTGTTGCTCTCTTTGCTTCAGTCACACTGCTCCTCTTGCTCTGTATCAAATAACCTTCAGGCTTCCACTCACTGTTCTCATTTCCTGAAATGACTTTTCCTCACCTATCAGCACTGCTCTTTTCCTTATCATCTTCCAGTCTTTTCTCAAATGCCATGTACTTGGTAAGGTTTTTTCTGAGCATTGTACTTAAAAGATGTCTCCCCCTACCTTTGTATTTCTCAGATTCCATACTATATATTTCTGTTAATCTTTTTCTATCTTCTCCCACCAGAATGTAAGCTCCAGAAGGGCATAGAATTTTGTCTCCAGGTTGACTATCACTTGGTGTGAGCTCAACATATATTTGAGTGAATAGTTCAATAAAGAAAGAAATTTGCTCAATAGTCAAAGCTAGTCTGTGAAAGAGCCCCTTATCTGAATGGTATTTTCAGGAATGGGGAGTGCAGTTTGGAAGGAGATGATCTAGGAAGACAGATGTTCTATCTTTCTTGTTCAGCATTGGTCAATGTATTGACTTGAAAGGGTCTCTCGGGCTAACGCAAATAGAATAGGAGATTTGGATTGAGCAATGCCTGCTTAGGAGAGATTTTACCCAAGGGTAAAGAGCATTCCTTAATATGCGTGTTGGTGTTTGCACAGGCTTTGGACCAGAGACTGACATTTCCCACCATTCCCAATTCTTCTTAGTGAACATACAGAAAGATTACTTCTCCACTCCAGTAGTTAGTTTGATGCCATGTGACAAAGTTCTTGCCAAAGAAATAAGAGAAGTGATTTGTGCCACTTGCTGGCCTAGCCAAAGAGCATCCCAAGTGAATAACCCATGTTCTGTCTTCTCCTCGCTCAGAAACCATAAAGGTTCCATCTTGACAACAATGGCATCCCAACAATGAAGAGGCATACCTCCTTACATTACTACTTAGAGAAGAGTCATATGATCTTTATAAAATATTTGTCTGTGAGAAACAAACTTACTGTGCTAAGCCACTGAAGGACAGAAGTTGTTTGGTTTAGCAGCTAGAAATAATTACTCCGATGATTAAACTCATAAAACACTATGATAAATAATGCAAATGTTTTAGTTTAAAATGTCTATATGTTATATATGAAACACCAACCTTTCCAAAAGGAACAGTTGGGTTATAGGTACAAATATTATAAAATCATTATTGATACATGAATTTATAGCACATAAATACTCTTACATATATATTTGTTGAAAATTACCAATATGCCAAAGGATAATGTGTGGAATGACATACAAAATAAATGTCCTTGTATCACATCTAAAATGTCTCTGGGTCAAACACTCAGGAATGCAAGTGAGCCAACATTTCCTTTGCAACATCAGTACTTCTAAAGACTATTCACTCAGGACACATAATATATAACTTCTTTTTCAAATGCTGGCAGATTTGAAAAGTTAAGAAACTATTTGTTGTTTTGCAATATAAAAGAAGCTAAGCAATATATTGATCATGACTTGACTAGGAGGTAGTTTGCTTTAACCAGACATCCTAAAAAAGCTCCCAAGAAAAGTGTTCTAGGAAGAAAGAAGGGAGCTTTCTATTTTTATTTTGATTTATATATTATATCTTGCACATATTCTGGCTATGACCTTCAAGCAATTTGAAAAAAAAAAACTCCACACAGAAACACACACCTGGATTTTCTCTCTTTCCTGAAATTCATAGCAGGGAAATTACATAAATTCTGAGATTTGTAATTAGCATAGCAGTGAGACTAGTCCTTCTTATTCAGAGAGAATAAGATCAATCCTATAGACTGCTTTAAGCTTGCAACTCAGAACATCTGAGATAGAAAGGTGGTGGTGAACATTTTCTCTCACCACAGGACACCCATTTATAGAGAATCAAAATCTCAATTGTACCCTTACCCTCATATTCCACAGAAATATTTCCCAATGATATCAAAGTAAACAGCATAGATAAGTAAACCGGGCAGCTCTTGCAACAAGTGTTGTTTGGCTTTAAAATCTTAGCATAAGATGATGATAGAACACACACAAAAAGCTGTGAGACACCCTTCCTCCCACCGAAACTAATAAAGAATAGTACTCTTCCAACTAAGCCTCAGAGACTGAAATGAATGCTAAGGAGCATTGTTCATAGCTTCTCAAAGCCTACTTCACATTAGATTTGCTCGTGGAGCTTTAAAAATGTCCATAACTGCTTTTCACCCCAGAACAATTAAGTCAGAATCTCTGGGATATATTTTAAGAGCTCCTCAGATGGTCCAATGTACAACCTAGCTAGAATCATCCTTTTGATGATTACTAAAACTACCTCAAGATAAAGTCTGTGTGCTTGCCAGGAATAGTGTTGAGGAGGGGGAAGAAATTTACCTTTGGGTCTAATGTTACATTAAGCATAATATATTTTACATATTCCTCAGAATAAAACCTCAGAATTAATATTTTTATTTCTATGTTCAAATATATAAGAATTAGGTTGAAGAGATGGAAAATAATTCCTGCATTGTAGGACTTACGAATTATTCATTATAGAATAAGGGAACTTTTATGGTGTTTCTTAAAACTAGAAGTAGTTAAGTAAATACTCAAAGATGGATATTATACATAAATAAAAGGGTTGAAATGGATTAACAAACTGAACCCTTGCACAGACTCAGCAGCTGCTTGTTGTGTCAATAAAGTTTTATTGGAAATCACTCACACTCATTCATGAACTTTTCTCTACAGCTGCACTGGTACATCAATAGCAGTGTTGAATGTATGGCCTGCTAAAGCCAAAATTAGTTATTATCTGGACTTCACAGAAAAAGTTTGCTAATCCATCAACTCCATGATCTGCAGCATGCTTTTTGCCCTAGAATTCACAAAACTAAAAATCTATTAAATTACAAATTGTAGTCTTTTTTAAAAGTAAAATAGCATCTAAGATAGTTTAATTTAATACAGGAAATGTTCCAACAACTTAGCAAGTACATATGCTACTTATGTCTGCCCCCAGCCCCTCAATCTTATAGGAGATAATGCCAGCAAGGCAGAAAAATTAACATTGAAAAGTGGTATGACATCTACTTCTTGGGGCTTGGTAATATAGACATAATTCCAGATTGTTAAGTAAGTGGGTGTTTTACTTAAGACCATATTGCCAGGATTTCTGCCTTGTTATGTGAGGAGGCAACACCTAACCTCCCATAGCTACTTTCACCTAAGTCAATGATGACACAGAGTATTTCTTCAGAGAGGAGACAAGAGAGAAGGAATCAAACCTACCATCTGAAATTCCTTCCCTTCGATGAGGCAATGCTGGTTGTTGGTCCATTCGCCCTCCCTTGTGTTTTTTAGTCGGCCTAGGCCTCTGACTTTGACTCAGGGCTGCACTGGTGTTACTGTCAGTAGAAAATGGGCTAGTTGGTCGAGGTCTTTGAGAGGAGGTAAAGGCTTTGCCTAAAAAAAAAGGTGGGGGGAATGGGGCATACAGAATGTTACTTTAAGACACTGTTTCTGTCTGTCATATATCTCTGTTCTTACTAACCTGGAAACCTGCCTACAGATGCCATTTGAAGATACCAAATACTGGTGTATCTCCATAGAAAAATATATTCCCTGTTGCACGTATCTTGTCCAATTTTTGATAACCAACACACTACCCACTGGAAATTAAAACAAATGAATATTAAACAAACCCTCCACCCCAAAACTTGATATTATATAATTATATTTTTATTTAACCTTGATAATCTGAGTAGTATTTTCATAGGTATTTGCAAATTCATGCAGCTTTTACATCTTAAAATTAAAGAAGCTATTTCTGAAATACATTATGTACTATCTTATGTGTTGAATCCAATTTCACCTTTGGAGTCCCACAAACTCTCTTTGAGGACAGAAAAAGCCCTGTAGTAATTACATTTCATTTTTACATGAAAGGTCAGCTCAGACACATCATCAAATTGGCCTTCTCCCCTATATGTACACAATGAGTGCCTCTTTTAGCAGAAACTCAATAACAGTAGTGTATAGCATAGGGCACAGAGCAGGTCAAAACCACCTCATGTGTCCAAAGTGCAATAGGTGCTTTCTGATAAATAATTTCGTATCTGAGCAGACTCCAAATTCTCACTGAAAAATGACATGTGCTATGTTCTTTTCTTGTGGCTTAGTGTACATGTGCAGGCTAATTTGTTCTGGGAAAAAGGTTAGCTAATAAATTTTCAACATCTTTTAATTTTAATATCATATTTATTATGGTAAGAGAGGTCTGTTTTATGTGCATGTATATATTCTCTTGTGCATGTTTTCATTTCATACAAAATTATTGTATGTAGTTACATTTTCTTAAGTCAGTGTGACATAATATTGCTTAATGTTTTATTAGCTATTAGCATACATGCAAGAAATGCACTTATGCTTTCTAATTTATTAGTTTCATTGCACTTTCTCACTGCTCTGTTTATAGCTATGCCACAAAAACACTCAGGCAACATAAAGTTCCTGACTTAATGCTTTATAAAGCAAGAAAATTCAAATAACCATTATATTACAACATATTTTAGTCTGGATGCTATATAAAAAGTAAACCTCTGCAATGCTTGGAAAATCTTTTTATTTCATTTGAAGATACTTAATGCATACTCAAAGAAAATATTGATGATATATATTTCAAAAAATATTCCAAGGATCATTTTTATAACCTGAGAGTTTAGTGAAGGGTCAAAATTGTTTTTCCTTAATTTATTATTTGAGTCCTATTAGGATTTCAAAAAATGGATTTAGAACATTAGTTTTTTGTAAGGTAGCTAAGTTTAATTCATATATTAGAAACATATTATATATATATATATATATATATATATATATATATATATATATACTTAAGAAGTATATAGTCATATAACAACATGAATCATGCCAAAGTCATTTGTTCCAGTAAACAAACATTGGCAACTTATAGATCTATTACTAGAGCCCCACATTTATTTGGAGGAATGATCAGATATGTGACAAATTACATAATTGGTCTTTTACATTATGACATTGTTATCAGAAGCCAAAATTAGATGACGTTGAAGACCAACACACACGTAGTCATCATTTTTTTCCAAATTGCAAATGCAGTGGGTGTATCTTTTATTAGCATCTTTTAAAACAAATAATAAATTATTGGATTAAAATTTTAGCAGCCAATAACTAATAATCTATCAGCCATTTGAATTGTTAGACTGACAGCCTTAGATCCATTCACCCCATGCTGAGAAAGCCTTCCCAGAAAATGCATTTGCAAAAAGAAATGGTACAAAGGAAAGTAATGGAGATAAAAGCTGAATAACTTTAATCACTGGGCACATTATTGATTCTGTGAGGATTTTGCAAAGTGTGAGTTATTGAAAATTTAATGGCAATCTTAGTTGCAGTTTTGCTGGAATATTAAAAGGAAGCATACTCAATTAATCAGCAGAACTGTGAGGAAAAGGAAAATAAAGGCTAGAGAGTGTTGAGTAGGAGCCCATTCTTGACTCTGCAAAACTAGCATCAGAAGAGAGTTCTGGTAATGAGCATCCAGACTGTGTTCATGCATACTAAAGAAATCCCTTCAGTCAGACTCACTGAGGAGAAAGGACAGGAGAGAAATAGCTCGGTGTCCAAAGGATAAGACTCATGCAAAAAATGTTGAGTCGGCGTCTACCAACCTGTTCTTGTAAGTCTGGTTCCTTCCAGCCTAAAACCAGCCTTATCTGCTGCTGCCACCAGTGCTTGTGCAAAACTGCCGCTGGCAAAGATGGAGCCATCTGAGGAGCTACCTACACTAGATCTACGACTAGAAAAGTTACGATCCTCATCAGATGCAGAGCCCCATCCATTTACCATTGAACCTAAAAACAAATGTAGTTGTCTAGTGAGTTGTAGATATGGGACAGCTCACGTGCCCGTACACACTATGCTAACAAACAAGTAGGCTGCCTCCACTCATCAGTCTTCCCGGAGATAAACCTGTATCAGCATGATGTCATTAGCCACATGCAAGCATCACCCATGTTTTAAACATTCCTACTGAAGAAGAATGAAGCTCATTTAAACTTTATCTGTTGCAACACATGAACAAAATATGTTCTGTATCGTTCCAGTCTTACATTGTTAAAGTTATTTCATGATCATTTTCCAAAAGAAAGCTGCTATGTATATTTTAAGTCTACAATTCAGAGAACACTTTTAGTGTATTTAAAGTAAACTTATCAAGAACTCAGATGAAGAACCAGTGTGAATGTATTTTGAATTTATTGCAAACTCTAATGATAATTTGCATGAAATCTACATTTATACTTATAAAACGCTAGAACTATTTTAAGATTTTAAAGTAAAAATTTAACCATGCAGAAAATAGTAAACATTCATAAACAAAAATGTATAAATAATACCAGAGTAAACAGACTTAGAAAAATAGATAAGACTTAGAAAAGAAAAATATATACCTGAAAAGTTCTAAAAATTTCAAAGCTCAATATACTTCATTTGCTTTTTAATTAACTCCAGTTTTCTCTTTAATGCTAATCTTTATTTTAGAAAGTTAACCACTATGAAAAATATCAGTGGCATTAATATGGATTTGTCTGCAAAATGAAACATGGCAATAGAGGAAAAAATTCAGCTTTATAATGTAAAGAGCTGCAAAACATGAAAATACTGAAAAATAATTTTTATTCTTAATTTTTCATTGTGTTTTACAAATTTATATATTTTCTTCGACTAAGCACATCTATTATACAAGTAACATTACAATATTTATTTATGTTATATACCATTAATTTATAACTCAATAAAGTACCAAATGTTGCTAATTCTACATTTTTTAAAAGACAAGTGATAAGGTATTTATAAAAAGCTAACTTAAGCTTTCTAAATAAACTAAATACATATTTAAATAAAAGAGATTAAAGTCAAGTGCCATAGATTTTTCTGCTTTTCTCTAATATTTATGAAACAAAAGTATAGTTAGGAATGTTGCCACGATGAAGAGTTTGTACTTTCAGTCCAGGGGACAAAACACAATAACACGGGACCATGCACTTTCAAGATGGAGAAAACAGAAACTGGAGGGGTTAGAAGGATCTGAGAAGTTAAAAGGGTGTTAAGTGTAGCAGAAAAAAGATAGAGTTTTGATTCTATTTGCCAAAAGCACAGAGATACACTTTTTACCTTCAAAACAAATTCCCTTGACACAGGCCACTGAAAGGAAGCCAAGATAACACCAGCAACCGAGCCTCCTCCGAGAGAACAATTTCTGAGTTAATAATCACAAGTCAAGGACCAACGGCCCAAAATGAAAGGAGAAACGATGCAATAGGCTTTGCAATATCATAATGTTACAGTAGATAAGAAAAAAATCAAAGTGATTCAGTCAGTGATCACCAGAGAATATGAAACCCTAGATCTGAGCACAGTTTTAAAGCCTATGAAAGCTCAGTCCAGGTCCCTCGGTTTCTGTATTTCTAAATGTCTACTGAACATTTGCGCATACATCTATGTCAGCCACTAGAAACTCACTCTCCAAACAAGTGTCTCCTTTTCTTCATCTTCAATTTCATTCCTAGCTGATTTCCTTCTAGTCCCTCTGTCTTTCTTATTGTTATCTGAATTAATTTTCTGAAACATTTATCACATGTGCGTTCCTCTATTCAAAGGCTTACCTCGTTTGCCAATGCCACATCCAAACACTAAATATAGGTATTTGAGATCATTCAGTATCTAGCCCAGCCTACCTTTCCAATCCAATTTCCTCTGTAGCCTGTGTAGTCCTGCTGCCTCACCTATATAACATTACTTACACACTTCTGGACTGTTACTAACTCTGCTAGCCACTGCCAAACTTTTAAAGTCCAAATCAATATTATCTCTGATATCACCCTGATTCCACCTCACCTTCAACTCTGTCTAAAGGAGAATCGACCTCTCTGCTTCTTATGTTTTTCAAACAGTATCCGTAGAGTAGCATATCAGGCCTCTACAAACTACAGTTTGTTGCATGTACATATATTACCTCTACTCAACAATGACACTCTGGAGATTAGGAAATATCTCTTACTTATTTTCATTTCTCATGTACAGGAGCACTGCACAGTAGAAATTCCAATAAACATCGGGCATATTAAATGTCTTCACCATTTTCATTATTCACTATAAATTCTATATATGATTCTATTCCATACATAATTTCCTAGAAAGTACTGTCTTTTAGTTACAGAAAAATGTGCTTATAAGAACTCCTAGACAACATTAAATAAGAAATGTAGCCAACTCTGGTAGATTATTGGACAATGGAGAAAGCAGGGATAGAATTACCCAAAAGGAGAAACTCATATATTAATTTATATATGCCTTCACTATGCTTTGATAACTTGAATATTGATATTTATCAATATCTTATTTACATTATGCAATGACACATTAAG